GGAATATCAAAATATTGAGGACCTTCAACACAGCATTGTAAGAGAGTTCGGAAGATTGAAGAGAAGGGAAATCAATCCTTCAGTGAATATTCGGAACATATTGAAACTCTCAAGAAGTATGATAATGAAAAAATTAAAGAAACAATATATTTAAATATGAAATAATTTAAAAAGATGCTAAACGTATATCAGATAAATAGAATTTTAAAACCAATAAAAAGTACAACAGTTCACCTTGTTAAGTAAAACACCTATCAAAGCAAATGACGTAATTCCTCAGAAGAATTTCCTCATTATCACAGGGCAGTGCTTTTATTCTATGCTGCAATTTTGTGGGAGAGCCGAAGAAGAGGCATACATTATGTAACTGGAAAATTTTTATGCTACATCAATTACTTGATGTTATGTGTAAATACCTGTCTCTCAAACTATTATATTTATCTTAACTTTATGACTTATCTCATGTCATGTAAATGATTTATTGAGATTAATGAAATTATCTATCTATTTATCTACCATCCACATTCAAAAACAAAACATTTATAGTCAAACTCTATAATAGTATACTAAGGTGGCAGCCTCTAATAAAGAAATTGCTGGAGCAGTACCTTTGCTGTAACTTCTTCTTTTGCAGGAATATTGCAAATATGTTTACACTCTCCCACATCTACTTATATAGCACTATCAGAGTATTACCAAAGAATTTTTATACAGAGTATTGAGCGACTTAGGGTCCTTTGCATTTTGAATATGGACCTGTATTTCAACATCAATTTTTTGAATTGAAGGGGTTATATTTTCAAGAGTGATTAATTTTTGGGAAAAAAAGTTTTTGGCTTTCTACTACTCCATCTTAATACAAAAAAATGGGGAAATCTTCCAAAGAAAGGAAGGAAGTAATCATTTTGAAAATAAGTAACTCTATACATGGATGTGTAGATCATGCAAAGAAGCAACTTTCAGGCACAAACTGGAAGAAAGCCCTCCTGAAACATTGTTTATATGA